CTACTGAAAATACAAAAATTAGCTGGGCATGGCGGCACATGCCTGTAATCCCAGCTACTTTGGAGGCAAAGACAGGAGAATCACTTGAACCAGGGAGTTGGAAGTTGCAGTGAGCTGAGTTCGCGCCACTGCACTCCAACCTGGGAATAGAGGCAAGAGTAAGACCCAGTCTCAAAAAAAAAAAAAAAAAAAAAAAAGCAGCATTCTCACCCAGTCATTGTCAAACTTTCTCTGTTTTACTTTATTTATAGATCATAACATTCTTGGAATTATCTTACTTATTTGTGATTTATTATCTGTCTCTCTTGATTTTATTATTAGTACCTTAAGAGCAGGGATTGGCACATAGCAGGTGCTTAATATGTATTAACTGACTGACAATGTGACTGAATGAATTACAGAATGACTCAATGAAAGAAAGAAAGGCAAGAGAGAAAGAAAGATTTCTCAAGGCAACTTTGCTGCTGGTGGTGCTTTCATGACCCTGGCTTCTGCATCTGTTTCACTTTTTTACTTACCAGAGAGGTTCTTTCTATCCTAAGCCTCAGTTTCTCAACCTCAACGATTGTTTCCCCTATTCCAGCTGATGCAACTGAAAAGATTCTTCGAGGCCCCTCCGTGGATGATGGGAGTTCTCCGGTCCCACTCAGTGAGAGCACAAAGAAAGTTTCCAGCTCTCACATCCAGAACTCACCAGATCTCTGCTCACTGCTGGGGACATTGCCACTCTTGTAAAGGAATGCAGTGTTTCCTTCTGAAATACCCTTTCCAAAGAAAGCCAACGACCAGTGCTGGTGATGAAGGGAATGAGAAGAGAGCCAGAGAAGACGCTGGTTCTTACCCACTGTGGTAGGCAGCTTCCAGGACAGCCCCCAGGACCCGCTGCCTGGTTTTCATGCCCTTATGTAATCCTTTCCCCTTGAGTGGGGCTGAACCTAGTGACTTGCCTCTAGTGAATAGAAGATGGTAAGTGAGGCTGAGCGTGGTGTGAGTCACACCTGTAATCCCAGCACTTTGGGAGGCCAAGGCGAGCAGACCACCTGAGGTCAGGTGTTCGAGACCAACCTGGACAATGCAATCCCGTCTCTACTCAAAAAAAAAACAACAACAAAATTTAGCTGGGCGTGGTGGTGGGCGCCTGTAGTCCCAACTTCTTGGGAGACTGAGGCAGGAGAATTGCTTGAACCTGAGAGGTGGATGTTGCAGTGAGCCAAGATCACGCCATTGCACTCCAACCTGGGCAACAAGAGTGAAACTCCATCTCAAAAACATAAAAAAGACTCTGGGATGAATGCTATCAACCCAGACCCTGGGATGGTATGTGTTTGTTACTTAAGACATAAGGGGTAGGGTATAGTGCCTCACGCCTGTAATCCCAGCACTTTGAGAGGCCAAGGCGGGCAAAGCACCCGAGGTCAGGAGTTCAAGACCAGCCTGGCCAACATGACAAAATCCCGTCTCTATTAAAAATACAAAAATTAGCCGAGGGTGATGGTAGGCACCTGTAATCCCAGCTACTCGGGAGGCTGAGGCAGGAGAATTGCTTGAACCTGGGAGGCGGAGATTGCAGTGAGCCGAGATTGTGCTACTGCACTCCAGCCTGGGCAACAGAGTGAGACTCCGTCTCAAAAAAAAAAAAAAAAAGACACTAAGTTTGGAAGTAGTTTATTATGCAGCAGCAGATCATGAATGCACCCAGATATATATTTCTAGGACATTTTCGGCCATGCAGGAAGTTTATGCTACAGTGGTAGCTGTGTTTACACATTTAGGGACTCACAGAAATGAGCACTTATCCCTCTCAGGAATCTACATTTCCTCCCACTCTTTTTTCTGTTTATGATTTTAAACAAATGTAATGTCAAACTATAGTGACAGTTAAATATTCTGTTTTTCTACTTAATAGGTTGCATCTTCTGACCATATTAAACAGTCTTCAAAGCATTCTTTTATTTATTTATTTATTTATTTTTTGAGGCAGAGTCTCACTCTGTCACCCAGGCTGGAGTGCAGTGGCTCGATCTCAGCTCACAGCAACATCTGCCACCCAGGCTCAAGCGATTCTCCTGCTTCAGCCTCCTGAGTAGCTGGGATTATAGGCACGTGACACCATGCCCAGCTAATTTTTGTATTTTTAGAGGAGACAGGGTTTCACCATGTTGCCTAGGCTAGCCATGAACTCCTGACCTCAACTGATCCACACGCCTCAGCCTCCCAAAGTGCTGAGATTAGAGGCATGAGCCACCGTGCCCAGCCGAGCATTCTTTATTCAGCTCTTCAGTCCATCATGTGAGCACATCAGCATTAATTGAATCACTCCCATCTATTTGTTTGAGGGTGGGGTAGAGTTTTACCTTCCTGGGTCATATCTGTTAGCATGTGCTGCCCCTGCAGTCCCAGCCTGCAAGGAGAGTCCAGGAAGGTTGAAGGCTGGGTTGCCTGTGGCTAAGAGATCCTGATTATTGAATCAAATGTATATAGTTTCATAGCTTTGTGACCTTGGACTTATTACTTACCACCTCTAGGCCTCAGTTTCCCTTTCTCTCTTTTTCTTACAGCTCTAGCTCAAAGAAAATTTCCTCTGCTTAGGGAGAGAAGCATACATCACAGGGTTACTAGAGGCATCACTGAGTTAATCCAACTAAAACAGCACAGAGCCTGCTATACTTTAGGGTATACAGACACAGCGCAACATGGTGTCCTCATCACCCACCGAGTCCTCGTGGTCAGAGCATGTAAACTCCTGTCCCAGACTCCAGCCCTCCTCCAATCAACAGCATCTTGGCTTTCCTCCCACCAGTTTGCTCTCCCTGAATCAGCTGGTGACCGTGAATGCTGCCATCCACAGCCCTGTGACTTCCCTTTGCTGTGTGAACCTGGCACAATGGTTACTTATGTGTGTCCTCTTGGCTGGGCCACACTGCCCACGTATGTGATTAAACATTATTCTTAATGTTTCTGTGAATGTATTTTGGAATGAGATCAACATTGAAATTGGTGGGCTTTGAATAAAGCATGTTGCCCCTCCATAATGTAGATGGGTCTCATCCAATCAACTGAAGGCCTGAATAGAACAAAAAAACTGACCTTCTCCAAGCCAGAGTAAGTTCTGCAGTTGTGGCCTGTGGACCTGAAATGCAACAGCAACACTTTCCTGGGGCTCCAGCCTGACAGTTCAACCTGAAGAATTTGGACTTGCCAATCTCCGTAATTACATGAGTCCATTTTTTTTTTTTTTGAGATGGAGTTTCACTCTTGTAGTCCAGGCTGGAGTACAAATGGTGCAGTCTCGGCTCACTGCAACATCCACCTCCCGGGTCCAAAGGATTCTCCTGCCTCAGTCTCCCTAGTAGCTGGGATAACTGGTCGATGCCACGATGCCCAGCTAATTTTTGTATTTTTAGTAAAGACGGGGTTTCACCATGTTGGTCAGGCTGGTTTTGAACTCTCCTGACCCCATGTGATCCACCTGCCTCAGCCTCCCAAAGTGCTGGGATTATAGGAATGAGCTACCACGCCCAGCCTAGCCAATTTCTTAAAATAAATCTCTCTCAGCGGGGTGTGGTGGCTCACGCCTGTAATCCCAGCACTTTGGGAGGCCAAGGTGGGCAGATCACCTGAGGTCAGGAGTTTGAGACCAGCCTAACATGGCGAAATGCTATCTCTACCAAAAATACAAAAATTACCGGTGTGGTAGCAGGCAACTCTAATCCCAGCTACTTGGGAAGCTGAGGCAGGAGAATCACTTGAATCCAGGAGGCGGAGGTTGCAGTGAGCTGAGATTGCACCACTGCATTCCAGTCTGGGCAACAAGAGTGAAACTCCGTCTCAAAAACAAAAAAAAAATTAATAAATCTCTGTCTCTCTCTCTACACACACACACACACACACACACACACACACACACACACATATCCTCTTGGTTCTATTTCTCTAGAGAATACTGACTAATACACTTGGGCAAGTCCATCTCATCTCTGAGCCTCAGTTTCCTCATCTGCAGTATGGGAGGGAGATTAATCAGGTGGTTCATGAGGGGTTGCCCATCTCTATTATTCTCTCTTCTTTCTAAGACTCTCTGGGTTACAACCAGAGCTTGAAGCAACTAGGCAAAGCAGAAAAGATTGCAAAACACTTTATTTGCCATCACATATGTGCCAAGACTTGTGCTCAGCATCCGGGAATGTGTTAAATACTAACATAGTGTTTCATTTACATGTGTGTGAAACCTGGGTGAAGAGCCAGGGTTTCTCTTCCCAACCCCCCTTAGAGTGCTTATCCTGGAGTCAGAGTACAAATCCCCCTCTTGAAGCAGGCACCATCACTGAGCCCCCTCCTGGTCCTGGGCCCTGCTCTTCCTGCCATCAGTCCAGGCCAAAGAGCAATGAGGAAACTGCTTAGGAGGGGTCTGAGGGCAGCGGGGGCCTGGGAGCCACACAGGAGTGGGTGCTGCCAGGAAAGGTCTAACCTCCCTGCTGTCAGGTGTAAGTCAGTCCATCACTGCTTGAAAATAACCTTGCACGAGGTCCCTCCTCATTCTTTCATCTTGCTTTTTGTTTATGAGATGAATGGCTCTTCCGCTGTGGCTTTAGGGACAGTGGGGAGGCAGGGAGCTATTTGGGAAGAGCCTGGAGAGCTGACCCTGCAGAATCTTCCAGAAGCCTTGGTGTGGCTATGGGTACCCAGGCTGTAGAAATCCCGGATGGGCCTGTTCTAGGCTTCTCCCCAGCTCCAACCCACAGGTTCAGCCTCTGTTTTTTGAATCAGAGTTTCGCTCTTGCCCAGGCTGGAGTGCAGTGGCGCTATCTCGGCTCACTGCAACCTCTACCTGCCGGGTTCAAGCGATTCTCCTGCTTCGGCCTCCCTAGTAGCTGGGATTACAGACATTCATCACCATGCCTGGCTAATTTTATATTTTTAGTAGAGACAGGGTCTCTCCATGTTGGTTAGGCTGGTCTTAAACTCCCAACCTCAGGTGATCCACCCGCATCAGCCTCCCAAAGTGCTGGGATTATAGGCACGAGCCACTGCCCCTGGCCAGGTTCAGCTTCTTGGCACTGAAAACATTTCTAGGGGAAGGGGAAGCAAGAGTCCACTTCAGAGCTTCTGCTTGGCCTCTGCCCACTCTGGACCTGCCCCAGCTGGGTCGGGGTTGCTAGGACTGCAGGGCTCTGGCCCTGGAATCACGAAGCAGCAGGGAGAGCCCTTTCCTGCTCCCAGCATGCAAACCTTCTCACATCAGCCCTCAGTTTCCAGGATTTCAGCCCCTAGTCTGCCTGGGCCAGGAGAGGAGGAGGAGCAGAGGATGGTGCTTCAGACCCCAGGAAAGATTTCGTGACCTTGGATTTGTCATTTGGCTTCCTTGAGCCTGCATTTCCTCATCTGCAAAAGTGGAGTGATAATTGCAGTTTTTCAGGTCAACTGTAAGGTTGAAACAAGATATTGATGGTGACAGGGCCTGTCACAGTGGGAGGCATCAGTGATGGCTTCCTTTTCCACTGTGAAATCCTGGACCAGCTGGTCAGTCACGCAGGGCAGCCCTCAGTAGCAAGGGAGGAGATGCCTGTGTGTTAAGGCTGCTTCCTGAGCCCAAAGAAGTGGCCAACCCAGCTCCAAGGACCAGGTTAAAAGTGGACTTGAGCAGAGGAGAGCAGAGGAAAGGCCAGGAGAGGGTGAGAGCTGGGATCGACACCCAGCCCTTGCCAAGCGGCCGCTGAGAGAACAGGCTTGTGTTCTCTGCTCTGCAAACCTGCAAACCCCAGGGCAGAGGAAGGGTTGTTGGGAGAGGACCCCAGCTTCCCTTTGGTGGGGTGCTCCAGCTCGAGGGGCTGTGGAGGGGCAGTTTGGGCCGTGGGGCTGGGCTGGAGGGCACTGAGCTTAGAGGAAGACCCCAGCAGGCTGCAGCCAGTGTGTGAAGAAAACAGGAGAGGGCTGGGGGACAGCTGGACAGGAGGTTTGGGAACCACAGTGGGTCTAAGGGACAGTGAGGGCAGAGGGGACTGGAGGAGGCCGGGTGGATCATGAGAATGTGGACCTGGAGAGAGCGGCTGAGCTGGGGAGCAGGAGTCTGGGCTCTGGAACAGCTCCAGCTGCTCCGGGCAGCCATGTTGTCCCTGTGGGCTGGGGCCAAGGAGCCCCTCAGCCTGGTCCCAGCAGCCCGGGAGCCCTGGAGCTGAGCAGGAGGAACAATCCATGCGGCACAGGTGCTCATGCACCTGCAGGGTCTGACTCCACCATGCCAGCTCGGCCTGCAGGGCCTGGATCTCCTTCCGCAGGGTGAGGTTGTCTTTCTCCAGAAACTCGTGCTGCTGCAGAGAAGTAGATGGGCGAGGAGGGAACTCAGCCAGTGTCAGGGGCCCTGTAAGAGCCTTGGCCCCTTCCAGGGTCCTCAACTTCAGGAGAAAGATCGCCACCAGTATCGGAATAGCTAAGTGCCTGGCCAGCTCTTCATAACCATCCACCGAGTTTCCCCCATCCCACCCCGAGGGGGCTCAGATCTGCCTGCTCTCATCCCATCGCTGGTGCCCTGAGCTGGTGCCATTTCTCACCTGGGATCTCCATGGGCTGCCAACCCATGTGCCCCCCAAACCACCCATTCTCTTGCCCACAGGAGTCATTTGGCGACCATGTCATTAATTGCAGGTTAAAGCCCTTTAGAGGCTCCCATCAAATTCATGGTTGCAGGATTCCAGGCCTGCGTGGTGGCCGCAGCTCAGACTTCTGGTCTTCTCTCTCCCGCCTTTCTTTCTTGCTCCCCTCCCTTCCTGACCGTCACATGAACTCTGCTTCCCTGCCATATTTCCCGTTTCCTCTGCCTGGACACCCTTCCAGCGCCCTCCCCCCTGCAAATCCCAACAGGGCCTTTCCATGGCAACTTGATGTCATACTGTCCTAGAGTGCTTACTAACGCTGCCAGACCTTTAGAGGGCCCAGAACTCGTTCCTACAAGCACTGTGGGAAGATTCAGGGGCTTGTTTTACAGGTTGACAGCACAAGTGTGTTTGATTCTGCATCCCTGAATCAGCGTTTATTAAGTTCTATTCTGCTGAACGCCAGTTCTGAGAACCTCTGAGACACTATTCATATGCAGTTCTAAATAACCATTTATGATGACAATAATTATAAAAATGCAGAAAGAGCCGGGCGCGGTGGCTCAAGCCTGTAATCCCAGCACTTTGGGAGGCCGAGGCGGGTGGATCACGAGGTCGAGAGATGGAGACCATCCTCGTCAACGTGGTGAAACCCCGTCTCTACTAAAAATACAAAAAATTAGCTGGGCATGGTGGCACGTGCCTGTAATCCGAGCTACTCAGGAGGCTGAGGCAGGAGAATTGCCTGAACCCAGGAGGCGGAGGTTGCGGTGAGCCGAGATCGTGCCATTGCACTCCAGCCTTGGTAACAAGAGCGACACTCTGTCTCAAAAAAAAAAAAAAAAAAAAAAAAAAAAAGCAGAAAGAATTTTATGTCTACTTTTCATAGGGCTGAATAAATTGAATGACTTCCTTCAGTCCCCCGACCCCTTTTCTGGACACTTTGAAAGAAGTTCCGAGGGTGTTTTGCTTAGAAATGTGGTTTTGGCCCTGGACTCAAAGTTCTAACAGGTCTGAAAGCCACCAGTGGCCGCATTCCCAGACTGTCTCTGCAGGTGGAATGATGAACATTTCTAAAATGTATCATTACGTCACTCTTCACCTAAATTCTCCAAAGGCTTCAACTCACCTCCAGGAGCTGAGCCACTCACTCATTCATTTATTCATTCATTTGCTACCTTCAGGAGAATCAAACATCACCACTCAAGGGGTGACAATTGCAATTTCATTCCTTCCCTCTTCCCTTTTTTCCCAACAGAATTTAACACCATCTGACATCCTGACCACTGCAGGGACCCTTTGTTTGTCGGTCTGGCTTCCCCAGGAGCATAGGAGCCCTGTGGGTGGAGCTGGGGTGGGTTTTTGTCCACGTGTCCACAGTTCTATCTCCAGTGCTTAGAACAGTGCCCGGCACACGGGAGACACTCAACAGGCGTTTCCGGAAGAAGGAATAAATGAACACATCGGTCTCCTAGGCACCATTCTGAGCACCAGTCCTCACTCTCACCAAGTCTACAGGGTGCTGCTCCCCACACCTGTGCCGGAACTGTGCCATTTGTCCCCAAAGTGTTTTCTTACCTTCATCCTCTGGGGAAACTCTCATTCATCCTTAAAGATCAGCTCATACTTCATCATTTTTTTTTTTTTTTTTTTTGAGACAGAGTCTCTGTCATCCAGGCTGAAGTGCAGTGACACAATCTCAGCTCACTGCAACCTCCGCCCCCCAGATTCAAGCAATTCTCATGCTCCAGCTACTGGGATTGGCTAATTAGCCTGTAATCCCCCTACCGGCACTGGCTAATTAGCTACCACATGCTTATAACCCCAGCTACTGGGATTGGCTAATTAGCTATCATGTGTGGCTGATTTTTGTATTTTTAGTAGAGATGGGATTTTACCATATTGGCCAGGCTGGTCTTCAACTCCTGGCCTCAAGTGATCCACCCACCTCAGCCTCCCAAAGTGCTGGGATTACAGGTGTCAGCCACCAAGCCTGGCTCATCTCCTCTTCAGACCACCCAATATGCCACTACCTATGTGCTATAGACTCTATTGTGTTTCCTCCAAAATTTGTACGTTGAAGCCATAACCCCCAGTGTGATTACAATTCGAGATAAGTCTCTTAGAGAATAATTTAGATTAAATAAGGTCCTAGCATAGGGGATAGGGTTCTAATCGGATAGGATTGGTGGCTTTATAAGAAGAGAAAGGGAGGCTGGGAGCGGTGGCTGAAGCCTGTAATCCCAGCACTTTGGGAGGCTGAGGTAGGTGGATCAATTGAGTTCAGGAGTTCAAGACCAGCCTGGGCTAGATGGAGGAACGCTGTCTCCACAAAAAATACAAAAATTAGCCAAGTGTGGTGGTGCATGCTTATAGTGCCAGCTACTTCGGAGACTGATATGGGAGGATTGCTTGAGCCTGGGAAGCTGAGGTTGCAGTGAGTCAAGACCATGGACCACACTCTAGCCTGGACAACAAAGCAAGACCCTCTCAAAAAACAAACAAACAAACAAACAAACAAACAAAAAAAAAACAAGGAAGGGGCCAGGCATGGTGCCTTGTGCCTGTAATCCCAGCACTTTGGGAGGTGGAGGTGGAAGGATTGCTTGAAACCAGGAGTTCAAGACCAGCCTGGGAAACATAGCTAGACCCCCATCTGTATTTAAAAATAAAAATAAAAGAAGTAAATAAACAATAAATGAATTTTAAAAATTAAAAAGGAGAGGGCTGGGTGCAGCGCCTCATGCCTGTAATCCCAGCACTTTGGAAGGCCAACGCGGGCAGATCACTTGAGGCCAGGAGTTCAAAACCAGCCTGGCCAACATGGTGAAACCCAGTCTCTACTAAAAATACAACAATTAGCCAGGCCTAGTGGTACATGCTTGTGTTCCCAGTTACTCAGGAAGCTGAGGTAGGAGAATCACTTGAATCTGGAGGCAGAGGTTGCAGTGAGCTGAGGCAGGGCCATTGCACTTCAGCCTGGGTGACAGCATGAGACTCTGTCTCAATTAAAAAAAAAAAAAAAAAAAAAAGGGGTGGGAGTGGTGGCTTACGCCTGTAATCCCAACAATTTGGGAAGCCGAGGTGGGTGGACAAACTGAGGTCGGGAGTTTGAAACCAGCCTGACCAACATAGAGAAACCCCGTCTCTACTAAAAATACAATAATTAGCCGGGCATGGTGGCATATGCCTGTAATCCCAGCTACTCAGGAGGCTGAAGCAGGAGAATGGCTTAAACCCAGGAGGTGGAGGTTGTGGTGAGCCAAGGTTGTGCCATTGCACTCCAGGCTGGGCAACAAGAGCAAAACTCTGTCAAAAACAAAACAACAACAACAAAAAACACCAAAAAGGAGAGGAAGGGAAAGAGATCACCCTGTCCTCTCCTGTGCACTGAGAGACCATGAGCACGCAGAGAGAAGGCAGCCACTTACGAGTCAGGAAGAGCACCCTCACCTAAACTGAATTGGCTGGCACCCTGATCTTGGACTTCCCAGCCTCCAGAACTGGGAGAAATAAATGTCTGGTTTTTAAGCCAGCGTCTATGGTATTTTCAGATGAGCATGAAGCTCAGTAAAGGAAGTAACTTGCAACTGGGACTGGAAGCCCCACCCATCTGGACCCTGAACCGGAGTTCTCACAGTATGATCTTGGTCACCTCCTGAACTCTGACCCCAAGGTGATTAATCACAGATCACCATGCAGGTTCCTGGGCCTCACTTGGCCTTATGAGGTGGGACCTGGCAGAGGAGGAATAATCCACTTTTTTTTTTTTTTCTATAGACAGGGTCTATCTGTTGCCCAGGTTGGATGCAGTGGTGTAATCAAAGCTCACTGCAGCCTTGAACTCCTGGGCTCAAGCAATCCTCCTGCCTCAGTTTCCTGAGTAGCTGGGACTACAGGTGTGCACCACCACGCCCAGCTATTTTTTACTTTTTGTAGAGACAGACTCTCGCTATCTTGCCCAGACTCATCTTGAACTCCTGAGCTCAAGCAATCCTCCAGCCTCAGTCTCCCAAAGGGGTAGGATTATCGGCGTGAGCCACTGTGCCCAGCCTAGAATCTGCATTTTAATCAGTGCCTCAGCTGGCCATTGTGTTGGTGTCTCCCAATTTGCCTCCACTTCCTGTCTTCCTCTCCCGTAGACTGTGGGCACCTTAGGGCAAGGCTGGGCCGAAGATAACCCTTGTGTCCCTGGAGCCTGGTATGTACCTAGCACACGGTTTGTACTCAACACCCAGACACTTCCAAATCTCAGCCACAGGACCCTTTCCTCATCCCAAACTCAGGTGACCTAGAAAAACACGGGAGTTTGGGGGAGATCTGCTCACAGGTGGGGTGGAGAAGAGGTGGCTGGGCCAGTGAGTGGAGACAGAGACAAAGAAAGGGGTTGTCCGCACCTGGTGCAGGGCGTCTGCCTTGTCTGTGTGCTTCTGCCGGCTTCGCTGGGCCGCTGCCCGGTTCTTCTGCTGCTTCTTCAGCTGCCTTTGATGCTCCTCAAAGTCCTAAGGGGCACGAGGCAGAGGACTTAGAGGGCCCGGACAGGCCTGGTGCCCTCCGCCCTGGCCCGCCGTTTACAAAGCCAAGGGTTTCCCTTTGAGTCAAGTTCCTGAGGGTCTTTGTTCTCCCAGAAGCTCACTTGGCACCCACAACCCCCATAGCAGGCACTGCACACCCTGTTGCCACGCCAGCCTCACCCCTGTGTCTTGTTCACAGCTCACATTGCAGGCGGGAGGGAAAGCAGGGAGGATGGGAAGCCTGAGATTCAGACTCAGAGCTGACTTCAAACCCCGCGTTCTCTCTCTCTCTCTTTTCTTTCTTTCTTTTTTTTTGAGACAGTCTCGCTTTGTTGCCCAGGCTGGAGTGCAGCGGTGTGATCTTGGCTCACTGCAACCTCTGTCTCCCAGGTTCAAATGATTCTCCTGCCTCAGCCTCCCAAGTAGCTGGGACTACAGACGCCTGCCACCATGCCTGGCTAATTTTTGTATTTTTAGTAGAGATGGGGTTTCACCATGGTGGCCAGTCTGGTCTCGAACTCCTGACCTCAGGTGATTCACCAGTCTCGGCCTCCCAAAGTGCTGGGATTACCAGTGTGAGCCACCATGCCCGGCCAAGCCAACGTTCTTGAGCCCAGTCGCCCCATCCCTGCAACGGAAGCACCACAGCAGAGCGGGAAAGCCCATGCGGCAGGCAGCCCAGAGCCAGCGTGGCATAGAGCTCAACTGCTATTCTTCTCATTGCCATGATCTCCACACCAAGGTGTGGACTTTCCTAACTGTGAGCTCCGTGAAGAGAGATGTGGTTCCCTGTGCCCATGCCCAGCTCAAGCCCAAAGCAGATATTCATATACTCAACAAGCATGTATAAGCACCTACTATGTTCCAGGCACTAAGCTAGGGGGACATGATAGCAAAGAAAATATACACAAATCCCTGCCCTCAAACTGCTCACATTCTAGTGAGGTGGTAGCCAAGAATGAATGAATGAATGAAGGGTTCATTCTGGCAGAAGAGTGGACTCAGGTTGACAGTTGTGACCACCCTGTACCCTGGGGTCAATGAAACTTAGACGAAATATTTTATCCAAATGTCCAAAGCTCTGCAAAGTCAGAGCAAGAGAAATTGTTGGAGCGCTCACAGCCCAGCCCCCTCCCCCAGGTCTCTCTGGGGTGTGTGTTCTGAGGGTAAGGACTTCAGCCAAGGCCATGGCTGCCCTGGCCACAGATTCTGAATGCTCCTAGGCTCCTGCCACAGCTGTACCCTGGCCATATGCTCCCTGGGGCCGTGTCCACGGCAGGCTCACTGTAGACACTGGGGCACCAAGAGGCAGAGGCTGAGACAGGACCCACCATGAGTGAAAGGAGCTCCTCTGAGATGGGCAGAGCCTCCAAAGGAAACCATGGCACAGGGAATTTATTTTATTTTATTTTATTTTATTGAGACAGAGTCTCTCTCTGTCGCCCAGGCTGGAGTGCAGTGGCATGATCTCAGCTCACCGCAACCTCCAGCTCCCAGGTTCAAGCGATTCTCTTGCCTCAGCCTCCTGAGTAGCTGGGACTACAGGCATGAGCCACCACGCCCAGCTAATTTTTGTATTTTTAGTAGAGATGGGGTTTCACAATGTTGGCCAGGATGGTCTCGATCTCCTGACCTCGTGATCCACCTGCCTCAGCCTTCCAAAGTGCTGGTGTTACAGGTGTGAACCACTGTGCCCAGCTTATTTTCTTTTATTTAGACAGAATCTCTCTCTGTTGCCCAGGCTGGAGTGCAGTGGCACAATCTCAGCTCACTGTAACCTTCGCCTCCTGGGTTCAAGCAATTCTCTTGCCTCAGCCTCTCAAGTGGCTGAAACTACAGACGTGCCCTGCCACGCCCGACTAATTTTTGTATTTTTAGTAGAGATGGGGTTTCACCATGTTGGCCAGGATGGTCTTGAACTCCTGGTCTTATGTGATCCACCCATCTTGGCCTCCCAAGGGGCTAGGATTACAGGCGTGAGCCACTGCGCCCGGCAGGCCTGGGTTATTTGGAGAAGGAAGGAAAGGCTCCTGTGAGGGTTCTGGGGGGGGAACAGGTACATTAGGAGACGGCAGGTACATAGAGGCCAAGTCCTAAACCAGAGGCTGGACCTGCAACGTGAGAGCTGGAAATGCTGGAAAGTGAGACCCAGAGAAGGGCACGCGGAGCCCTCTGTCACACAGCTCAGAGTATAGAGCTGGGACTAGGCACTCCCTCCTGCAGCCCTCACTGCCTGGCACTGGGGATCCTTGGGTTCCTCCCCCATCTCCAATCCCCCGTACTCACTGTCCCGGTCAGCAGCTCGTTGCCCCCGCAGAGGTGCATGGCTTAGGTGGGGAAGCAGAGGCGTCCCTCAGCAGCTGTGACTTCCCAGTGCCCTCTGGAGGCCTGAGGAAGCGACAGCTCTTTAAATCACCAGTGACCATTCCGCCCGCCCCCCCCGGAGAACCAAGTTTCAGTTTCTCCTAAAGCCACCAGCTGCCCAGAATCAGAGGCTGAGCCCTGGCTCAGGGCTGCTCACGTGGCTAGAATTTCCTAATATGAACTGGCCTTCCGGTTGGGCCCGTTCTCTGGAAAGAGGACAGTGGAGCATGGAGAGAGGATGGAAAACCAAAGGCCAGGTGTGAGGAGGGTATTCCAGGGGAGAAAGGACAGGCAGCCAGGGACTGAGCTGAGAGGAGAAGCCAGTGGGGACTGAGGGCTCCTGTGAGGTGAGAGAGCCTCCGGGCTCTGGAATTTGGGGAATTCCAGATCACAGCCCACACTGGAGCTGTCCAGCTTTCAGAAAGTGACTCCCCTTCTTTGAGCCTTAATTTTCTCATCTGTAAGGGTATGGGCTGGAGGATGGTACAACTACACACTCCCAGGCTCACGGCAGGAACTAAGCCAGATAATACAACCACCCCCAAACCTTCTGAGACCACTATTGAAGCATATCTGCAAAAACAAGCAAGCCTTAGATAGAACAGATGGATATATGACTGTTTTCATATAGCAGACCGAGTGGCAGTGGAAGGACTGATGTCCAGTGGTTACGAGCCCGGCTTCCAAGCTACGTGACTTGAGTTCATAATTTCATCTGTGTTTCTGTTTCCAAATCTGTAAAATGGGGATAAAAACAATTTTGTTAGGCTGGGTGCAGTGGCTTATGCCTGTAATCCAAGTACTCTGGGAGGCCAAGGCAGGAGGATCACTTGAGTTCAGAAGTTTGAGACCAGCCTGGGAAACATAGCAAGACCTTATCTCTAATAAAAATACAAAAAATTGCCGGGCGCAGTGGCTCATGCCTGTAATTCCAGCACTTTAGGAGGCCGAGGCGGGAGGATCACGACGTCAAGAGATCGAGACCATCCTGGTCAACATGGTGAAACCCCGTCTCTACTAAAAATACAAAAAATTAGCTGGGCATGGTGGTGCGTGCCTGTAATCCCAGCTACTCAGGAGGCTGAGGCAGGAGAAATGCCTGAACCCAGGAGGCGGAGGTTGCGGTGAGCCGAGATCGCGCCATTGCACTCCAGACTGGGTAACAAGAGGGAAACTCCGTCTCAAAAAAAAAAAAAAAAAAAATTATCGGGGCATGGTGGCACACACCTGTATTCCAAGTTACTCAGGAGGTTGAGATGGGAGGATCACTCGAGCACAGGAGTTCAAGTCTGCAGTGAGCTATGATCTTGCCACTGCACTCCAGCCTGGGCAATAAAGCAAGACCTTGTTTCAAAAAAATTAATTAATTAAAATTTTAAAAATAAACATAAAGCAAAGCCTGAAGCCCCAGGTGTATCTGCCTAGTTGTTGTATCTCTAAGAGAGACCACACTTGGATGGGGCCTCTGGGGACCAGAGGGGCCAGTAGCTCTTGGGATATTGTAAAGAGTGGCCAGTAACGTCCAAGAACAGCATGCATGCAGTATGTAGGGTCCTGCAGTCTAGTGACTACAGCATTTTGGGGTTGTACCTGAGACCTGAGGGCTCATGGCTGATGATGTGGGATCACAAGAATGGCAAACACTACAGATATGATCTTCTGATAGGTGATGGTGGCTGAACGTTGTTTTAAAGAGTTCATGGACGCCTCTGAGCTTAGTAAAAAAGGGTACTGCAATTGATTAGCAATATCTGCCAAACCATGACCGATTAGTGATGTCTGTTATGAGCAGAGGTGTGGAAAGCAGCAGTCCCCTGCTATCCCTAGAACCAGGCATAAAACAAGTCTGGGTTTCAGAGTCAAAAGACCTGACTCTGAGTTCTGGAACTCCACTCACCCAGTTTATCACCTGGAGCCTCAGTGTTTTGGCGATCACAAAGAAATGATACCTGTTTGACAGTTGTTTTGAAGATAGGAAGGAATGAGATGAGAAGAAAGTTCGTGGGATACTGTGAAGTGCTATGTGGCAAGGATTCCCCCTCCTGAGATTTGTGGTGTCATATTCTGGATTCTGGTATTACTAATGCAGGCTCCTGATTTAAAACGCCTGAGTGGGCGGGATTGGGCATGACAGCTGGGCCTTGCCCTCCTTGCCTCTGAGGGGACTAGGGGCAGAGGCTGAAGTGGGATGCCCCATGCAGTGAGGCCATCCCTGTTTCTCTGAATTACTGTTTCCCAGAAACCAGGAAGGCTGGGGCATCTTGCCTGAGGCAGGCACCTGAGGAGCTCATTAACCCAGCCCATGAGCTCCCCCGGGAGGATCTGCAGGAGCCCTGTGCATCATGGGACTAAGAAGAAACACCTGTGTGTGTGTGTGTGTGTGTGTGTGTGTGTGTGTGTGTGTGTACGCGAGTGTGTGTGTGCATGTGTGTGTGGAGGGGCTAGAGCCCGAGGGTCCCCCCTGCCCTGGACCCCCAGTCTTTCCCCTCTGGACCCTGGCTTCTAGCAGAGATGACACAGCCAGTACAGTTTTTTCCAGAACCCCACAGTCCTGGGAGAAGACCAAAGAAAGCAGTGTTTATGGCTCCTTGAGGAGGTGGCTGGGAGAGGGAGTGGCAGGGAGGCAGGGAGCGGGAGCGGGTAATGTTTAACCAGGAACGGCTGTAGGAGACTCTTCCCAGAGGTGGACGCCCTCCCTGGCTGGTGGGACCATTCAGGCTGACTCTCCCTTAGACGGTGTCTCAGTCAGCTCAGGCTGCTATAATGCAATATCAGAAACTGGGTGGCTTAGTGACAGGCTTTTATTTCTCGCAGTTCTGAGGGCTGAGAAGTCCAAGAGCACAGTGCTAGCAGGTTTGGCTCCTGGCAAGGCCTCTTCCTGGTTGGAAGATGGTGGCACTCTTGCTGTGTTCTCACATGATCTCTCTGCCTTCTTATAAGGACACTCATCCCATTGTAGGGTCCCACCCTCACGACATCAGCTAAATCTAATGACTTCCTGAAGGCCCCCCTCCAAATACCATCTTATTGAGATTTGGCACTTCCTTGTGTGAGTTTTCGGGGGACACAGATTTTCAGTCCATAAAAGAGAGTGAGGAAACTAATGCCCAGACAGGCAGGTCACCCCACAGGAGGGGCAGAGCTGGAGAGTGAACACAACCTCTCTATTCCAGGCCTCAGTCCTGCTCCACACCCTGCTTGGAAGGACCTGGTCCATTAGTAAAGAGTCAGCAGTCCCAGTGGGTGGAGGCCGGAGGCATCCCAAATACCATAGCTACCAAGTGAGCTCCTGCATGGCAAGACAGGTTCTTTGAAGTATCCCCAGTGCCTCAGACACTGCCTTCACATAATAGATGCTCAATTAATGAATTAAAGTCCAGCAGGCAAATTGCCACCCAGGAACCCCACAACTTTCCTGAGAAAAGACGGTTTTTGCTCATTCCCATAGGACCTGCCCTGGGTTCCTTGGTGGGCTCTCCCCAGTCAACCTCATCATTTTACCAGTGAGGAAACTGAGGTAGCTGGGCGAGGTGGCTCACACCTGTAATCGCAGCTCTTTGGCAGGCTGAGGCGGGTGGATCACCTGAGGTCAGGAGTTCAAGAGCAGCCTGACCAATATGGTAAAATCCCATCCTTAAAAAAAAAAAAAAAAAAAGGAAACTGAGGTACAGGAAAGGAAAAGTCACATCATTGTTTTGGGAGAAGCCAGGATACACTGACTTCCTGTCCCAATTCTTTTTTTTTTTTTTTTAGATGGAGTCTTGCTCTGTTGCCAGGCTGGAGAACAGTGGCCAGATCTCGGCTCACTGCAACTTCTGCCTCCTGGGTTCAAGCAATTCTTTTGCCTCAGCTTCCCGAGTAGCTGGGACTACAGGTGCACATCACCACACCCAGCCAATTTTTGTATTTTTTTTTTTTTTTTTTTAGTAGAGACAGAGTTTCACCATGTTGGCCAGGCTGGTCTCGAACTTCTGACCTCAAGTGATCTGCCCGCCTGGGTCTTCCAAAGTACTACGATTACAGGTATGAGTGAGCCACTGTGCCCAGCCCCTACCCTGTCCCAGTTCTTTCCCACATCTGCTGGGGTTGGGCGAATGCTCAGATCTCCAGCTGCTGAAGGATGAGGACCCTTCACGCTAGGTCCTTCCACCACGTGCATCCCTCATATTAGGGATTAGGCCATATTAGGCCTGGCCTGCTCAGGGTACCTCCAGGGGGCTACAGATGAAAGCAGAAAAAGAGGCCAGTAAGTTGCTGACAGGGCTGACTGGCTGCTGACTTGCCATCCACACCTGAATGGGAGCCAAGCCTCGGCTGGGAGGATTTTACAACCCAGGGTGTGTGGGACACATCTGTTGGGGAAGGGACTTCCTGTCATAGAACTTCCTCTGGGGAGGTCACTTTCTGCCAGGGAGGTCAGGGAAGGCTTTCCAGAGCAGGAGCTCTTTTGAAGGGACACGGAAGGACGGGCAGACCCTATCCCAAGGCCTGGAACTTGTTCTTGGCAAGTTACTTCACTAACCTCTTTCTGCCTCATCTGTAAAATGGGGATGCTATTTTATGGTGGTTGTCTTTATGGCAAAGAGAATTGTAAAATTTTTTAAAATGGGGATAATAGGCCAGGCACTGTGGCTCATGCCTGTAATCCCAGCACTTTGGAAGGCCGAGATGGGCGGATGGGCTGAGGTCATGAGTTTGAGACCAGCCTGACCAACATGAAGAAATCCTGTCTCTACTAAAAATACGAAAAAATTAACAGGGTGTGGTGGCACATGCCTGTAATCCCAGCCACTCGGCAGGCTGAGGCAGGAGAATTGCCTGAACCTGGGAGGTGGAAGTTGCAGTGAGCTGATATTGTGCCATTGCACTCCAGCCTGGGCAACAAGAGGGAAACTTTATCTCAGAATAATAATAATAATAAATAAATAAATAATAAAATGGGGATAATAATGGAATTATTTAAGTAATGTATGTAAAGGGCTTATAACAGTGCACAGCTCATAGTTAAGCCACATAAACATCTGTTAAACTTAACGAAGGCACTCAATACATATCTGATTAATTTTTATTCATGTAACAATAGGCTTGTATTCTGTTTTATCTTTATTTATT